AGTAAAAAAACAAAGCCACTTTGTAAAAAACAAACACTTAACCGGGGCGTTTGCCAAGGGAAAAATAGATTTTTATTATTATTATTATTATTATTTTTACATAAAAATGAGACAGATGTATATAGCTAAGTGAAGCTCTAGCAATATTAGCAAAATGTTAATAATAAATTAAGATTAAAAAAAAAATAAGGGATCAAAATCAGCCATTTTAGACTACAATTGTACAGACAAGGATTCCATTAAGAACAAAAAAAAGAAAAAAAAAAAGAGTTTCAGATAAAAGATGGTATCATGTCTGAATCATCATCTTGGAACCAAACTAAGATATAAAGCAGAATAAGCCGAATACCCTAATCTAACTTGTTCTCGCCATGTTAATGGTTTTTCCAGTTTCCAATCCATGTACGTACTATTTTCCACTCGATTGCGCGCTAACAAGAATTTTGCAGGATCGTGGGCTATAATTCCTCATTCGTTGTTGGTAAGCAAAGACAAGATGGAATTTGATGCAAATAGCACCCGACATATATAGATCAAATTAAAAAAACAAATCAAGATCAATGGATCAGACATTAAAAAAAAAAAATCAAGTCTCCAAACCAGAAGATATTAAGTCGAAAGATCTGAGAATCAAAATAAAGTAAGGTAAAATCAGATCTATAAAATTTAACTTGATCGCCTGTAGTTGCAAATCATAGATCAAAACCAAGAATTTGTTCGATGCAATAAAGTAAAGAGTGAGAAAGAAGAGACTGACCATGGTTATAGGAGGAACGGAGGTTGTCTACGAATGAGTTGGATAAATATCGCACACGGAAATATAGAGAGAGATTTATAGAGGGAGAGAGAAAGAGAGGGGAGGGAGTTGGGGTTTGCTCAAATTGTGAGCTAAATAGAGAACAGGGTGGCGTGCCCAATTTTTTATTTTTTTTTCCGATAAGAATTCAAAATAGGTAAGCGGTAGCGTTGTTTTTCAAATATATTTATTTAAATAATATTTTTCAAAACTTATTTTTAATATTAATATATTCCAAAAATAAAAATAAAAAATGAAATTTTTTAAAAACTCCTATTAAAACACCCCGTAATTATCGTCATGATTGTGCTCATGCATGACAACAGGACATCGTACCGACATCCAATTATTATTATTAGACACATGATGTCTTCGTGAAAATGATATTTTACGAAAAGAAAGTTATTATGTAAATTTAGCCTTTTAAATAATGTATAAATTAAACCAATAAATACATTAATTATATATACACACACATATATTATAGATAGATATATAAATAAAAAAATATATGTAATTTTCTTTTTCCGTCTTCATCTCTGCGTGCATTTTCCCATGCTACCAATACTATCAAATTATTCTGTGTTGATGCATGCAGGCTTTCTTATATGACACCAACGAAGCTGTTTAAAGTGATGATATTGTAATTAGTTAGACTTGAATTTATTTTTTAGAGATTATGAATTTAAGTTTTATAAATTTTAAGGTTGTTGAAGATTTATATAGTTATTAATTTTAGAATTTATAGAATTAATTAAAATATAAATAAGCTAACCGGAATATTTATATTAATAAAAAAAACTGTGTTCTTGTAATTTTCTATATCTTTATGGAAATTGTATAGCCTTTCTATATATGTTTTTAGCAGGGAAAATTATGCTTGATCGAGTCGATGGTGAATCCAAGGGCTACGGCTTTGTGCAGTCCTCTTATGAAGCTGCAGCCAGAACGGGTATGAAAGAAATGGATGGTCAGGCATGATCCCTTTAATTATCATGTTTAATAACTATTATCCTGCTTGTTTAATGTTTTGTTCCACGGTCCATTCCAGTTTGCTGGATGACAGAAATATCCGTGTACCTTATGTTCGAGTCCTTGGTTGCTCATATGATGGTCACTGAAAGTTTACATGGTCGTTAACTTCAGGGCCCGTGGGATTAGTCGTGGTACACGCAAGCTAACCCGGACACCTACGTTAATCTAAAAAAAAATATCCGTGTACATTATGCACATAAGGGGTGACGAGGAGGCGCGTGTGTTGCGTTCGATCCGTTTCATAGAATGCAAATTATTTTTATATTTTTTTATTAAGGTAAATATTTGAATTAGTTTATATATATCTTAATTAATTTTAATTTTATAAATTTTAAAATTAATAATTATATAAATTTTTAATAATTTTAAAATCTATAATACTCAAGCTATAACCTTGTGTCTGGGTCAAGGTATTAGAGCAGTACTACTGGTGTTTGTTTAGGCCATGTTTGTTTCTCGGAAAATAGTTTCCGGGAAACCACTTTTTAAATTTTTCTGTGTTTGTTTGCTATTAGAAAAGTTGGTCAACGAAAAACATTTTTCGGTCAACGGAAAACACTTTCCGGTCAATGAAAAACACTTAGTCAACGAAAAATATTTTTCAGTCAAAGAAAAATTTGACTTGGTTTTCAGAAAAGTGTTTTCCTTTTTAGCTGTGTTTGTTTTCCCGGAAACCGGAAAGTAGTTTCCGGGAAAATACTTTCCAAACTTTCTTGTGTTTGTTTGCTGTTAGGAAAGTTAGTAAACGGAAAACACTTTCCAGTCAAAGGAAAATTTGGCTTGATTTTCATAAAAGTGTTTTCCTAAAAAATTTGGAGGAAAACACTTTCTGGAAGTTGTGAAAAATTTAGAAATGTCATTATTTGCTTATTATATCAAATTTGATTCTCAAACTTTTGATTGCTATATATATTTTGTTTTGAATATTTATTTTTCAATTTCATTTCTTAAAATTTAATTTTTATATTAACTTTGGTCCTCATTTTTATAATTGTTATTTGCTTTTCTCCTATTATTTTTTTATTGAAATTTTTTATCTATCAAATTTGGTCCTCATTCTTTTAATTGTTATTTATTTTATTTGAAATACTTTATGAAATGTTAATTATTATTATTTTAATTTCTTCATCTCTTTTTTTAGATTTGATTATTATTTATTTTATTTGAGATAATTTATGAAAAAAAATTTTCAATTTCATTATTATTCAACTTTTTAATTTGTAAGATTTGTTCCTCATTATTTTAATAAACTTGAGAAAAATAAAATATTAATAAATTATTTTTCAGTTTATTTTCCATAACATAACCAAATACTGAAAAGTGTTTTCCAGTTTATTTTCCATAGCACTACCAAATATCAGAAAATAATTTACTTTTCAGGAATTTATTTTTTCCAGAATTCACTTTCCAAAAATTCATTTTCTCCAAAATTTTTTTTTTTTTAAAAAATAACTTTTCTCCCGATAAACATAACCTTAAAATCAGTGTGCTTGTACAAGCAACATTTCTGCCATGAAAACCCAATCATCATGTGTTCTTTTACTTTTTAACTACTTTACTGCGTGTCAAGATAACAAGAACATGTTCTTGATCATCTTCCAGAACTAGAAACTATATGATCATCCTCCCTTGAAATGGTTCCTCAAACATGTCAAGAAAGAAAGAAACGTTTTTATTACTTCTATATGTCTCTCATTCTTTCTTTCTTACCCAGTTTGATGTTGTTTGAAGCTCTGGTCAGATGGGACTCGGTTTCTTTGAGTGGAAAATTAGTCAGGTTCTTAATGGAGTTTTCAGGGTGGTTGAGATGGAGCAGATTGTTTTACCCTGTAGGAAACTAGTCTGGAGTTCCCTGGTTATTGTACTCTAAGGGGGGAGGGCGTGCTGCAATTTGAGACCTGTGTTCACTTTCAGATGTGTTCAAAATTCAAATGCCCAGTAGTGTACCAACTACCATGCCTGGTGTGACTGATAAAACTTGAAAACCAGCACGCTACTAAGAGCAGTGCTGGTGGTGGTTCCCTCTCCTATTTGAACGCTGTTTGCCTGAAGAAAGTAGGCTGGCAAGGACTCTAAACACTGCAAGCCTTGCCCTAAGCCATCAGTTCTGGTATACTGCATGTTAAACAAATCACAGGTAAAAGAATGGATGAGAATTGGAACGGTGTGTATTGGTGACACTCTATCCATTTCCCTTTACCAGAAACCTGATGTGGCGGGTCTTAACAAATGGATGGATTCAGACTTGAAATGCTCAGCAGCTTCTCCTTCTAGGATTAGCAGAATCCTAAATGATTAGCTCATATAATTTCAAAGCCTTCCGTTTCTCCGCAATCTCTCACGCAATCTAACTCTTCTTTATTTAACATCTTCTACTTTTCCCGTAATCTGTTCTCGAAATTTCCATTATATTGGTAAAGCCATTTGACCTCTTGGTACTTCAATTGCTGGCTACTTCATAACCTAAAAGCTCCAAAATGCAAACACTCAGAATCGGCCTTCTTTACACTTGAGATTCCAAAACCTCCCACTAATTGCACAGTACCCAAACATCAAGATGGTTCTCAACTATTCGAGGAATTTCCCTTGAATGTACCCGCAATGACAATGACAACGCTGGTAATCATACTGGCGACAGAAACTGGAAGAGACGGCCGCAGGCACTGTAATAATTATGAGTTTAAATGTGTAGCAAGTTTTGCTATCATCTTGCTGGGAGGAAAAAATTATTTGGGTACCAAAGAAAGACAAGGAAGAAAACAAAGTTTTTTTAAAAAATGATGCATGAGGAGAAAGATCTTGAGGCAAAACATGGAGTGTAAAATGGATACACAGTCGACTAAACAAGGCATCTTGGCTGGGGCAAAGGAAACACTTGAAATGCAAGAAACGCAGCGTGTGACAGTAACCGTTTCTCAAGCCAAGAAAGGGTTCGAATCTTGTATTCTGTGGTGAAAGTTAAAATCTATCAAATTGGTCCTCTAATAATGCAATCCATTACACAGTCTATGAGGTAGCATATTATCACAGTTCTCAGCCTCTGCCCACTGAAATAAACAGTTCTCTTCATTTGGTAACATTTCATTGTTGATAAATGCAGAATTGCCTTGCAGCAGATGAAGATGAAGAGCGGCGCCATCGCCGAGGGCCCTCACCTTTTGAGATTCTGTTAACTGGAATCCACTCAATTTCGTTTTATTGGTAATACTGGGGATAAAACTTTAAACTAAGATCACGAACCCTGGCACCTGAGCAAACTTTACAATAATGTAACTTCTCCTTTTACAATCATTAAGTCAAGTTGCTCGTTCAGGCAAAAGCATGAATACAATCAAGTGCTTAGGCAAAGTATAAAATCAAATGCATTAACTTTCTCCTTTTACAAATTCTTCTCTCTACAAGAGTCCTAATTTGTCTTGCAATACGCTTGTAGCAACATTTGGTCATGCTCACCCTTTTGGTTTCCTAACCACCCAACAAAATTGGGGAAATAAAAGAGAATCGTACTCGATCACTCCATGTTTTTTGCCACTTCAACAAAGATCAGCCTTCCATAACAATCTGTATGCCAAAACAGAAAAAAAAAAAAGAAAAAAAAAAGAATAACAGATGAAAAATTACCAAAATGGCAGGAGTGAAAAATCAGGTAAACAAGTGTTGTCAATGCTTTAAGTCGCATACTTCACAAGAGCAATGACCATTTCAACTTAATCATGCATAAAAAGCAGTAATATGATGAGTTTTGACAGAATAAGATTGGTGCTGATGTTTCAATTTTTTGTATGCAACTTGAGGAAAATTAAAGTGGACTTAAATCCAAGAACTGAAAGAAGTCTGAGAGAGACAGAGGGAACACTTAAGCTTTCCATCATTTCAGTTTCCAGAAATCAAACAATAAGAAGTTCAAACAAGAAATCTGAGGCTGAAACACCACACTGTGAAAAACATAACAAAAATATATAAACGCATGAAAGATGAAAAGCGCATCAAGTTAATTCGATAACCATTAACAAAAATATATAAATGCATGAAAGACGAAAAGGGCATCAAGTTAATTCGATAACCATTACGGTGGTCAAGATTGAAACCATTTTAATGGATCTTGATGTATCTTTTGCTGCTAAATTATCTACAGTAATAGCAGCCTACTTAATCAGGTTCCCAAACATAATAGTCTCTTCTTCTATATGTATGCATGTGTATCCATATTACAGGCTTCACAAGAATTATCATCTAAGATGCTTAAACAATGCTATATTTGCTTTAAAGCGTCTAGAATAAAGGCTTTCTTAGAGGACCAAGACCCATCTCCATTTTAGCAGGCCTGCAACCTCACCGCCATAAATGAGCAGAGGAGGAAAATCAACATCCTAGAACCAAATAGTTCTGGCAAAATCTACAGTCTTTTCTCCGTTGCCTAATTTCCAACAACTGATTTGCAACTACTTCAACCTAGCAAGTAGACTGCAAGTAGGTAGTATATTTCAATGAAGACTTTCATTACATAACATTAACTAATGTTAAGGCATCAACAGAAGAAAACGAGGGAAATACACCTTGAAAACAGAGAACTGAGGAAGTATAGGCTTATTCCACTATAAAAAGCTTAAAAAAAGAGTGGAAGTTCTTGCATCCAACTTGGATACAAAAGTAAAGTGAAAAACTGGAGAGCCTATCCATTGCTGGAGAAACCCAATTTCCTTTTTCCAATATCGAATAAACTACTACCAGATAAACATTAAAAAAAAAATGGAGAAGAATTTCCTTTATCGAATATCTAATAAACTACTATTAGTTAAACATAGAAAAAATGGAGAAGAAAGAAAGAAATACCCTGCCATTCATGGCCTCCAATGCCTTGTGCGCATCAGTCTCCGACTCGAACCGTAACAAAACCAAACCCTTTTGGCTTTTGAGTTGTTGGGTATACAACTAGCCTAGCTGCACAAACAATCAAATTTGTTTTATAACAAGAAAAAACATGAAGAATGAGTAAACGATTTCAGGTGCTGTCTTAGCAAGGAAAATCTCTCACAGCATCTCCAGTCCAAAATACTATTTTGAAAAGCTAAATTAATAAAATAGGATTTTGAATAGTATAAATATAATTTATCTTATCATATTTATTCCAATAGAAAAAAGCTATTTGAAGAGCCATTTATATTAGAGTGAAAAAAATAAGTATTTTATTATTTCTTAATATTGTTTAATGCTATTTTTTTTTCACATGTCTACATTTAATTGATCTATTTTTTTAGTGGTTCCACTTTGTTAGTTTTGGCTCTTTAAAGAGATATGTAGAAATAACATTTGTAGGAGAGAAGAGGCATTTTAGCATTTTGTTTGACTTTTCCATTAGAGTGTGCAAAACAAACAAAAAAATACTAAAATATTAATTTTTTTATTTTTGACTATCCACGTGGCTTCTCAATTGTAGATGCTCTTACCATCTTTAACAAGACCAAAGGGTGAAAAAAACAAACTTTTGAACTCATGATTTGCTGTGTACGATGATGATCAACTGACAAAAAGCTGGAAGCCCATTCATTTTGCAATCTTCTTCTTCAAAGTCCAGACAAAGTGAAACTGCTGCGGAGCCAGCGGGGAACCAGCAAACGGCGTTCCTTCAGTACAGGCCAGTAATTGAACAGTAGACGACATGTAGCTTAAAAAACAAGTGGATTATTATTTGATTCGTGATTTTAATAAATAAAAAAATTAGGTAACCATTTGTATTTGTGATCAAATTTTTCCAAGCTTACCTACTATAATAAATAAAAATAGATTTAAAAAATAAAAAATAAAAACAGCTTTACTTGAGGAATTTGCTCATGCTTTTCAAATAAAGATTACTTGTGGAAGTAATTTAAGATGTAAAACATTCTTTTACTCGGTAAGTTTGAATCCTCATAAATATCGACTGTCTTAGGACATTATCACAAAGACAAACCTAGAATTGTGATTTTCCTTTCAAATTAAGGGAATTTGAGATGTTAATGTATTTAATATTTTTTTATTTGAATACCTTTATTTTTCATATTAAATTAATTAGCATACCTTACTTTTACTAATAATAATACAAATACTTTGGGTAAATTGATATGTGTTTGCCAGAATATGAGCGGTGATTTTAATATAATATTAAAAAATTAATTTAAAACAAAAAAAAATGTTTTTATTTGAGTTCTTTTTGTCCTTTTCTTTTTATTTCAACTTGGCAAATTTAATGATCAGATTTGTTTGGCAGTTATCTCTTCTGATGTCCTCTGAAGTCTAAATATCGCATAACCAATCTCCATCCAGTCAACCCTGCTTTCTTCATAATCTAGTAACCTATCCTTGCACGCATAGAATTCATTTTAGAATTGGCATTGCTCTTAATCCTATCAACAGACCTGTACAATGGAAACCATATTTACCATAAATGAGGTGCGTGTCCATGGAAATCACTGCCAAGCTTTGGAGTTTCGAGCTAAACCTACCAGATCGCATAACCATTTTCCCAGCTATTATTATTCTTTTTGGGTAAAAAATCTCTCCCGTCTTAATTCATGGTTGCTATTCCTTGGGGAGTCTGCGAAGTTACAGATGTTGATAGTCATATAATCAGATTGAAAAGCACGTTTTACCAAATATGGTGAGGAGATGGCATGATTGAAATTTGTGACAAAGGTGCATATCAATTTTCTTTTTGGCTTTTCATCTATAGAATTGGTAAACGGAAGGAATTTCTTTGGTTATGCTTTGTTTTGTTCTTGCAGATACATGAAGAAACAGAGGAAGGAGTTGCTATGCCTCCAAGCAATGAATAAGGATTTGAGTAAATACGCAGATCCAAACTCCCCCGCTTACAATTTATAAACCCTAACACTAACACGCATGGTTAGGGAAAACCCAACTTTATCACAACAACAATTCAAGAGCTCGTAAACTTAGTAACAGCCTTGGTACCCTCGGAAACAGCATGCTTGGCCAACTCTCCAGGCAACACCAACCTCACAGCCGTCTGGATCTCCCTTGAGGTAATAGTGGGCTTTTTGTTGTACCTGGCTAACCTGGAGGATTCCTGTGCTAGCTTCTCGAAAATATCATTAATGAAGGAATTCATGATACCCATAGCCTTGCTGGAAATCCCTATGTCTGGATGAACTTGTTTTAGGACCTTGAAGATGTAAATCTTGTATGTCTCCGTGCTCTTCTTCACCCGCTTCTTCTTCTTGTCTCCGGCAGCAGCGCCGCCTCCTTCTTTGGGAAGCTTCTTCCCTGCCTTCGGCTTCTTCTCTGCCGGGGCTTTCTCTGCCACCGTCTTCTTCTCCTCAGCGGGCTTCTTCTCGGCGGGCTTCTTCTCGGCTTTTGGTGCCATTTCGAGAGAGCTTGATTGCAAGGAGTCTAGAGGAAGAGGAGGAGATTTTTTTGGGAGGTTGCGTTCTGTGGAAAGAGTTGGGTAGGGATGGTTTATAGAAACAGGATGTGGTTGTGTGATTGGTTACTGAGATTTTACACGGATCGCCGACGTGGAGTTTTTGGAGCGTTGGATGGTGAGGATGGCATTTGCCGCGGAACAGTAGAAAATGGGAGTTCTTTTTTGAGAAAGTAGAAAATGGGAGTTTACTTTTTCGAAGGTTGCCATTTTTTAATCTAAATTCTAAAAATAATGCTTTTTTTTTCAATTCGGTTTTTTTAGCAAGAATTCTTAGAGATAGGAAGTATAAAACAAAAAGGAATGGGGAAATAGTAATTTATAGTTTTTTTATCTTTTTTATTTTATTTTTTTAATTTAATTTTTATATAATATATTTATAATAATTTAAAGTTAAAAAAATTTTAACCTGAGTTTTATATGATTTTGGTAGTAACAAAAAAAATATTTTAATATTGATTTGATATCAAAAAAATATTTCAACCTTGGAGTATAGTTTATTTTAAAAAAAAATTAGTTAAATAAAAAATAATTTAAAAAAATTAGTTTATTAAATTTTTTAGAATCAATGATCCAAACTATAAGTTTGGCGAAACAATCTTAGTTGTCCCATTTTGTAGTTTATCTTCTTCTATTTTTTTTAATTTAACTTGATTATGTTATTATTTATTTTTTTAACATATAGTTAAAAGAATAGTTTTGAAAAAATAAATTATTAAATTTTAGAAAATTCATGAGCTTGTTGATGGTACGATGAGTTTAACTTTTTTTAATTTATTTTTTTATTTTTTTATTTAATATTATATTGATTGAAAGTTAAGTTTCATAATTTGTTTTGTTTTACTTTTTGAGAGGTTATCGTAGTTTCTTTTTTAAAAAAAGTCTTGGTGCTGGTTTGATGCTTGATTTTATAATTGTTTGTTTTTTTTTATTATATAGTTAAATAAACAATAGTTTAGAAGAAAAAAAATTATTAATTCCAATGAAGTTTATTACTCAATTTACGGGTTTAATATGTTGACTCGGCTTACCCAATTCGCTAGGTTAGCATGTTACCCATCAAATCTGATTTAATTTTTTAGTTTCTACTACTTTAATTTTTCTAATTATTTTTTTATTTCACTTATTTTTTAATATTATATTGGTTAAAAAATGAAATTCATGGTTGTTTTCTATTTTCGATAAGGTTATCACAATGTTAAATAAATGTTTTTTCAAGATTAGTGATCAATTTTGAAAATATTTAATATTATCATAAAATTAAATAAAAATAATTTATAAAAATAATAAAATTATTAAATTCATTGAAGTCAATGGCTCAAGTCACCAGTTGACTAAAGTCGATCAAATCTGACATTATCTCAATATAAAAAAAAATATTTTAATTTTTTTAAGTTATATCATGTTTTTACAGTAAATTTATATTGTTTTTTAATTTATTAAATTAAATAATTTATTTTAGATCAGCTTTCACACAATTTAATTTAAAATTTAAGCTATATAAAAAGTCGAGTTAGCAAGTTTTAAGATCAAATTGCTTAATTGAACTCAATGATACTATTAAAAACATCTTCATGTTTTTATGTTTAAAAAAAGAATAGTCTAACCACAACAAGTGAATATATTAGAAGTAGTAAAATAACCATTTTTTCTACTTATAAAAAATACTATATTTATAAGTATTTTGTTAGTTGTTTTTGTTATGTTTTCAAGCTATCGCTTATCTATGCAGCTAAATTGTGTTTATTTTTTAATTTAAAAAGATATTTTAAATTAAAAAAATAATATTTTTAAATAGTTTTAATACATTTTTAAATAAAAAATTCCTTAAAAAACACCAACACTTATTTATTATACCCCCCGGGTTTTTTGGGAAGCGAGTTTGTGTACTGTAATGGTTTGTTTTAGGATAATTTTAATGGTATTTAAACTGTAATTAATAATATTTTATTAGATATAGTTTATCTTATTTATTAGTATGTTATGTCATTAAAAATCATGTTAGTGACATAAAGAAAATTATCTTCCCTCTCCTTTTCATCTCTGTAATGAAAATCTCCTACAAAAATCACAGTTCACTCGCCCCACTCTCTCCTGTCAAGATCACAATTACCCTCTCCCTTCTTGTTTAAATCGGTTTATAAAATATATAGTGAAACTTTTAAGGCCAGATTATATTTTGAGACTCATTTATATTTGGGTTAAGATTATATTATATTTTGTGATTTAGCATAAATATTTTAACATACAATATTAATATGTTTTTTTAAAAAATAATTAAACATGAATGAGAAATTATTCTTAAAAAAAACTTTTAGATAACAAAACTTTTAAACTTAAAATAACTTTTTAGATCAAGCAATGGTCAACTCATGAGTTTGAGTTTGGATGATGAAAAATAATTGTTATTAAAACCGTGTTTTTTTTAGTTTCTAAAATATCATAACAGTAAATGAATCAATATATTAATTATGTGATGAAAATAAATATTATTATTAATATTTCATGAATCATGAACATTCATGAATTATGAATAATTTATAAACTATAAACCTTCATAAATATTCATAAATAATGTGTTTTAATGTTTTAATTTCCGAGTCCTATGAATAAGAGTTTTTTAGATGGGTGGAAAAAAAATACAAGAAATTTCCTGAGTTTTTTTCTCTCTTTGTCATTGGGTTTTTTCAAAACTTGTTTTCCCACTATTTCTTTTCACTCCAGATCTCCTGTTCGGTATTTATAGAAAAATATTAAGTAATATTCACTTGAGTTTGGTAAACTTTATATACAAGAGCACCAAAATAAGGAGGAGTTATTAAAATCTTAAATTTTAGAAAATTATTTTATACAAAGTGATAAAAAAATTTCCTAAAAGACTAGTTGAAGAAAGTTATTTTATACAAAGTGATAAAAAAATTTAAAAATAAATAACTAATCATTAAAAATAACAAAATTTTAGATTAGATATTTTATAAAAACTTTAATTAATACTCTAATTAATACCTGTTTAGTTAGTTTGCATGCTATGATTGTTTTTTTATATTTTTTATAAGTTTATATATTTATTTAGTATACCGTATACATACTAAATTTTTTATAATAATTACATTATTACTATATTTTATATACTTACATAATTATAAACTAAATATATTTTTTTTACTTATAAAATTTTGGACAACACCTCTTTTCATATGAAGAGAGCGTTTGAGATTGTGTTTGAAAAACACTTCTAAAAAAATTTAAATCCTTTTGCTTTGAATGAATATATTTTTTATATTTTTAAATTATTTATTTTTTTTTGCTTTGAATGCATATATTTTTTATATTTTTAAATTATTTTAATATATTAATTTTAAAAATAATTTTTTAAAAATAAAAAATATTATTAATATATTTTTTTAAATAAAAAATATTTTAACAATCAGAATATCTTTCCCATGGCGTAGCCAGCAGCCATCATCACAGTGTCTTTCCCATGGCGTAGCCAGCAGCCATCCCTCCCATTTAGGCAAAGACATATCATCAGTCCCC